GGGATATGACCTGGGCATAGACGTCGGGTTGGCCCGATAAGTGATACCTAGTGAGTCCGAGAGGAAGTCAACGGTTCGGCTCATAGGTTGGATTTTGTTTTGATATTTCTCGTGTTTCGGCGTTTTCTGATTTCTTGTCGCTTTTTCTAATAATCCAAATTTCTTGAGCAAAACACAACACAACGGTACTCAAATCTTCCTGACAAATATTCGCACGCAAATGTTTGGAAACTTTTGAAGATTTTTTTCAAAGATTTGGTGACCATAAACATGGGCCTAAATAATCTAATTTTAAAACCATAGTTCTATCGGGATCCCCGTGAGTTGTGAACCCATATCTTGCCTAGTATGTGGGAAAACGTGCCGGCTTTAGTTCGGAACCCGCCCTGGGCTCTGTTGTTGTGTACGAACGACGTTCGTTCGAGGAAATATATGGTGGTGTGTTGACCTCTCATATATTTCGTTCGTGCATCGTGTGATTTTGGCGTCAGACGCTTCATTAACTTATGCATGTGCGTTAGGAGGTTGTTATTAGACTATTTCAGAGGTGTGTAAATGTACAGTAGTCTAGATTCTCAACTTGAGATATTATATATTCTACGCATGTACCGTATCTTCGCCAAGTCTTGGGTGCGTCCTTCCACTACTTGGTAGGCCATGTTTGACGTATCAGTCGGGCCCACTCACAGGAGGGTAGATAGGCCGAAACCATAAAGGCCGAATGACAGCATGGCATCGGGGGGGAGGACACGCAAAATTATATAGATACATAGATTTAAAACGGAAACATACCCAGGGTATCGTTGTTGGTTTAGAATATGATCCAAATCGCTCTGCTTTTTTAGCAAGAGTTTATAATCCAGATACAAAGAAACAAAATTATATTATTGCACCTAATAAAATAAAAAAGGGTGACGTTATAAGATCAAACTCTAAACGTAATGGCTATCAAAATGGTCACAGTAAAGAATTACGTTACATTATTACAGGAACTTTAATCCATAACCTAAGCCTATCTCCGGGAGAAAACGCTAAAATCTCAAGAGCGCCTGCCCCACGTTTCCTCTTCCTGCGGTGCTTCCTTCCTCAGTTAGGCATGTGTGGTTCTTATTGCGGGAAGGTTAAGACCGCCCGTTTTCTCGTCAGCCGTCAAGTCGGGGTGCATTTTCCCCACGGGAAACAAACTCCAACCTGCTACTGGTACTAGACTACTACTGCAGCAGGTTCACAAGGGAGTTTAACCACGAGAGACAGAGACGACCGGGAGATGGGACCTTGTAAAATGTCACAGACAGATGCGTGGGTCGCCACTGCTGTAGCGTGCGTCGGTGGTGATTGAATTTTTATGTCCAGGGCAGGAACATTCTGCCCGCCCGACAGGTGTAGCACGCGCGCCCTAAAAAGGGGCAGAGGGGAGCAGCACGCATGCATCCCGTGCATCTAGACTCCCTCTTGTCTCCCCCCCAACTGCCCTGTGTTGCGTTGAAACAAGCTCGATGGGGAGGCCGCTGCTGGCCAAGCCGAGTGACACCGAGTAAAAAAATCTCGCGCCGGCAAAAGGTGAAAGGGGGGCTGGAGGGACTCATGCTCGAGCGGGAGAACCGCGTCCGTTTCGCTGACTTCGAACCACAGGAACAGCTTGAGTAACAAAAAAAGCGTGATCAATCTCTAGCTCTATAGGACGTCTTGCATACAGCCTAGACAAGCTGAATATGGATATAACCACCAAAAACTAACGTGCGTCTCCATGACTTCAAACACAGAAGCAGCTTGAGAAAAAAAAAAAAGTGACCAATCTCTAGCTCTGTGGAACGTCTTGGATACAGCCTAGACAAGCTGAATATGGATATCACCACCAAAAACTAACGTTCGTCTCCATGACTTCAAACACAGAAACAGCTTTGAGTAAAAAAAAATGCGTGATCAATCTCTAGCTCTGTAGGACGTCTTACATACAGCCTACCGTATATGACACATGATAACAAAACCCCCTGGAACGATTTTCAAAGCTCGATTACTCCACGACGAAGAGGATGCATAAACGAAATGATACATTTTCGAAAGCTTTCGACGAGACGGTTTCAACGCCGCCATTTTCGGCGCTCTGACTGTTCCTGCAGTTGAGAAATCGAGCTTCGAAAGTTGGTCAAGGGGGTGTGTTATCTTGTGTCATATACGGTAGACAAGCTGAGTATGGATATCACCACAAAAAACTTACGTATCGTTGCCATCTATCGAAACTCACTGCTGCTCAATTCGGCGAACGACGCTGGATCTTGCTATCTATTCTCCGTGAGACTATACCCAACCCAGTTCGGAGTGGGACAAGTGAAAACCCCCCACGACAAAATTCGATGCACGAGCGCAACACGGGCATTGCAAGCAAGCCTCAGCAAAAACAAGCACGACAACTAAAGAGGAGTCGGCTTAGGGAAAGTTGATTCGGCGAAGTCAACACACAGCATCCATCCACAGGATGATCCTGGCCAGTTCGATCCTCTGAAGGTCGCATGCAGGCTAACCGAACGTAGAGCCATCTAGACGAGGGAGTTTGCCGAGCGGCTAGACAAAAAAAAAAAATGATTTCTGATTCCGACGTCCGTGATCACCAAAAGAAAACAAAACAAAACGGCGATGCGCTGACCTCATTCAAACGCCGACTTATCGTTCTTGTAGTACACGGTTTCGCCTTCGTCTTCAACAAACAAGCACTCCTGCGGGACAAAGGCGGCGCCAACAAATGCAGTGGGGACGACGGTGGTGAAAGGGCTTGGTAAACTTCACCCCTTCCTGCTAATGGATTTATACGGCTCTGCCATTGACAAACGAATTGGCATACCCCAAACGCCAAACCCACGGTACATCTAAACAATGAAATCAAGCAGGGCAGGGCATTGGTGCTCGTTGTCCTGCAGCACAAGCTGTACAACATGCCTCCATCGAGCGCCTCACGGGGTGTGCTCGGTTACATCGGTGAGTACACGTTGACATATGTAACGGGGCTTACGGGTACGAGGTACGACATGTTCGAAAAAATACTCGTGACATGTCACCCAACCCCGAAACGCACACATGTGCACGCAACAAAATCTCGGGGGACAAAGTGATGGGAGGGCTGGGTCTCAAGCAGGCATAATTTTGCTCTGTGGCGCCACACCGCATGTGGCAGCATCCGTACTTTGTTGACCGGCCACCGCGCACGTAGGCGCGTTTGTAATGGTTCACCAAAGCTACACTTGAATTATTGCCCAAGTCTCAAACCGGGGGCATGTGCTCACCTCTGTCCCCTTGATGAACCGCTTGATGAGATGGAATGGGATGGGTCCAGACTTCTCCGGCTCCACGAAATATTCCCCGAGCACCGGCTTCACGGCCTCCGTCGCTTCCACGATGTGGTAATGGGGCATCTGGTAGGTGAACACAAGCGGCAAGAGTTGAACGCGCCTACCATCAAACAACAAAGAAAGGTAAAATAAAAAAGGTCGCCCAGTACCTTCTGACTCTGTGGAACGCGGGTTCGAATCTCTCTGGAGTGCAACACTTATGATACGCGTGGAAAGCGCCTACGGTCATATCAATTGCAAACTGAGGGAACCAACTGCTGACGTCCTTTCTCGCGTAAATTGTTGCAGGCAAGCATCGCAGAAAGAACGATTGAAAAAACAAATCCCACTTTTACCGTCCTTTTGTGCGAACCCGGCTGATGCGTCACCCAGAACAGGTGGGGATCAATCCAAACACAACATGAACGAACTTTGCCACAAAGCACTAGCACCAAGGAACCGACCCAAAAAATAACTTCGATACCCGAATACCGCGTGCCTCGGGTGCCACGTGGTACCTGAGGGAAGAGGTGGTGAACGACGTGTGTACCGATATTGTGGTGGATGTCGTTGAAGATACCGTAGTCGTGGTCACGAGTGGACAGACCCCCTCGCATGTACGACCATGCGCTTCCACGGTACCATGGCACCTAAGTACGCCAAGTAAACGAGAGCCAACACGGCGCGGATGTAAGTCTGGATGATGTTTCACGTAAGTGGCAGGAGTGAGCACCAACAGGACCGGAACATACGAAAGTATTTCCGGCGCAGGAGCAAGTCTTGGCGCACGACCAGCGACGTACGGCATGCATCAGAGACCCAAAACACACCGCCATCAGGCGCAAATGATGCGCCGATAGTTCAACGTAGAATGCTTGTGGAGAGCAAGAGGTCCTGCATTTCACCGTCTTCTTGCTCTGTGCCCATATGACAGAGCAGACCAGAGACACAAAACGCAGGGGCGAAATGCGATGCAAAAGGTGAAATCAGAAATACAAGTATAACGAGTTGAATAAATGGCGGGTGAAATCGCCGCCAACAAGGCGGCTCTTGTCCGCATGCAAGTTTTACGACTCACAAGCACAGCAAACAACAGACGAGCCCAAAACAGCGGTATGATGGTCTCACCTCCTTGTCAGTGTGGTGCAGGTACGTCACCACATCGAGCCACATCACGTTAATCCAGTAGGGCACCATATACATCTTGGCCATAAAGAGGAATCCGAATTTGAAACACCCAGCTGTGCAAAGACCGGACATATTTTGGCACGGATACACGGATATCAAACAGAGCAAGTCAGAACTGGATTTTGATCGATACCCAGCATTGACGTACTCACGACGTTTGAGATTCTCATGGCGACACGCGGTTCAGAAACAATCTAAAACTAGTGTCCGCGTACCAGCGAGCAGGGCCCCCATCGCGGCGTAGCACGCAGTCGACGTCAAGACGTCGTTTTCCTCCGACGGCGTGAACAGGGAAGACTTGGGGTTGAAGTGCGACCCGGTCTTGCCAGGTGATCGCTGTGATGATGCAACCCAAACGCCCAACAAACACACGATCAAAACACGTGGTGAGAGGCACTGTCGTGCGCGGGGCCAACGCGATGTCGTGTGTATTCGTAGAGGCACCCGTTCGTCAACCCCCCTCCACACCTTCTTGGTGGGGATGGGCCTGGCCGGCACCAAAAAGCAGACTGGACTACATCCGGGCTTCCTGCAGTTCGAGGAGAGTTCCTTGTTTCATTCACATTGCCATACTGGGTAGTTTTCCCTTCCATTGATTATTTTGATTTTCATCTCTTGACTGCGAGTAAATAAAGCGCGTCGGAGCACTCTCCTGTATTTTTCGTCTGGCGCTGTGCCAAGCAATGAGATACACCAGCAGTGAACACAACACTAACACTCGCGGCTACGATTGCTTGCAAAGATATTGTCGCGTCCGGTTTGGCAGGCACAAGCGGCGTGGCCATCACGGAGAGAAGCACGTGCACCCGAGCGCTCACCAGGTAGAGGTAGAACGGATAAACCACGAGCATCATCCACTTGTTGAAGCGCCCCGTACGGGCTCCAAAGTCCATTTTCTTCACCGTTGATCGTGAAGGAGGAGTCCTACGTGAAACCGAAAAGTTGGTTCGAACGAAACAGCAAGTCAGCAAGTCAGCGCATATTGAGCATGGGGAAATCAAGGTAGGGCGGCGCAAGGGCGCAGACGCACGAACACTCCCCCGTACTATGGGACACCCTATGTACCTGCCACTACATCACACGAAAACGAGCGAGAGCCACTTGAGGGGAAACCTTTTTAAGAGCACTGGCGACACACAACCTCCACAAATCAACAGTATATTCACCAGCTCTCGTCGTTCTCGACGTGTCCGTGGTTGGAGTGGTGCGTCCTGTGAGATATCCGCCAGCCGTGGTAGGGGACCATGATAAAGGAGTGCGTCAGATGACCTTTGGCAAAAGAGGGGCAAGAAAGCGGAACGACGGGATACATGACCAAACATACAAAATAACGCTGTCGAGCACTTGGTCCCCAATCTTCTGCTAGGTACTGATGTTGGCAGGGAGGGCCTCCCAACTCTTGTCCGAATTGTGGAACTACTACAACGGCGGCAAATCATCGATAGAGTTGGTAACCTAGTGGGGCTCACCAACAAAGCTATTGAGTCTTTTGCTGTTGCTGAACGAGCCATGGCCGCAGTCGTGTCCGACCACGAACAGCGCCCAGAACATTGTGCCCTGCGCAAACCAGTAAGCCGGCCAGATCAGAGGGTTCTTGATAGCGAGGGCTCCAGCAGCGAGGCCCGCCACCACCACCACGTCCCTCGCGAGGTAGGACAGCGAACGGAATGTGTCCTTCTTGAAACACTTCGCCGGGATGGCTTTGCGGATGTCCGCAAGGGTGAACGGTGGCTCTGCTCCGAAGTCGAAGGCCACCTTCTCCGTCGACTTTTGTGGGCAGCAAGAATCCAAGTACACCCGGCACATCAGGAGGACAACACCATGATCGTTCAGGTCATGCCGCGGCATTGTTGCTGTCGTCACACTAAAAAACGTTGCATTTTCTCTACCCAGCACTTTCATATGTCCGTACTGATCCAACACTTGTCGCGGTCGATTCCCGTGGTCACAGGTGAACTTGCCGTAAAAAAGGTACACAAAAGGACCCGTTGGTTCTGCAAGCGCCATTACTTGTTGAGTCAAAGACAGACAGTCTAGAGTGGAGCCCTCCGCTCCCTTCACATGCTGTGTGAAGAAAGCACTGAAACAGCTGGAGGCCGTATAATTCCCGATGCGCGTTTAAAGAGGGCGCGATTGTGTGGGTTGACCATTGGATTGGGGCGTATGCTACAGGCCGCGCCACCGCTTGAGAACATGCAAGTCGCGATACTTTTTTCAGTTTCAAAAATGTAAGTACTGGTACAATGTAGTAAGTATAATAGAGCGAGCGATCGGCTGTACACCGCGAAAGGTTGCAAACTAGATGTCCTTCACTAGTGATGTTCTACAATGTGGATGCTATCGATATGGATGGCTTCAACGAGCCGAGAGGGGCTAGGCGCGTCACCCTACCGAGCAAGACACAGGGGAGTTGACCCGCCTCGATTCATTTGGAAGTTTTGCCGTGTATCGTAGATCAACAGCAGAAATAACTAAAACGCAGCAAGTTGTCAAGAGACTCTGCTACGTGTTCCTGATAAAGCAGAATATTACAACACACGACATAACCGAGGGTTTCTCCCCGATATTTTGTCGTTGACCCCGTAGATAGAGAACACGACGGGGGAGATGTCTTTTGGTAATTGTGCCTACACAGTGATTTTGTGAGTAGCACCTGCTGGCATCACTGATCGATATTTTTCCAGTGTAAAGGCTTAAATAGACTCCAAATAAGCCCGGTACCCAGCCGGTTTCCCTCCATTCACTGTGAAGACCTTAACACATTCCGTTCAACTGTGGTCTTATCTCGAATGGTAGTGTTTCTGTGTATATATTGATGTTTCCTGAAACTAGGTATGTGTGGTACCCACCGGGGCGAAAAAAACGGCAAGCCATACTGCTGTACATTGTACATGTGTTCACCACACAACGAGCAACCGAATCCTCCTCGTTCGGGCTCGACCTCCTAACGTCATGAAATGTGTTCATTGGTCGACGCGTTTGGCGCAACAGCTTTGCCAAGAAGCCTCGCTGCCGCCCGCTTCGTGTTTCCGATTTGACCGTAGTAGAGCAATGGTAGTAAAGTAGCCCCATTCAAAAGTAGGATGTATGATTATTGTCGGTGGTGATCTACTACTTGCATTTACCTCGCGTGACGTGTGCTCAAGGAAGAAGTGTTTTATTAATACAGGTAAAACCTCAAATTTTGAAATACGCACATGCTCCTTCACGACGAAAAGCACGGCAGATCTTTCGTCCTACACACAAATAGATAAGGAGCTTGGTTTCCCGTTGTCACGAATACATTGAGGACCTTTCAACCTCGGAAAATCTCCGGTGACGCCAGCAGCAGCATCCAACTCTCCCATGCATCAAGTACCGCAAGAGTCGGGGAGATGACACCCCCGTGTCAGCGTTTTTTTGTAGCGTATTTCACAACAACCCACCAGTGGCGAAAAGGGTAGTTTTGGGAACATCTCGTCGAACGCTTTCCTGAGAGGTACCGGTTGGTGTTCGCACCCTCCTACTTGTGGAGAATAGGCTGAACGAAAACGCTAACACGGTGCGATCTCTCCGACTCTTGCGGTACATCTCATTTCTCCGATTTTCGTACTGAAAGAGCACGTCTGGGTTTTGCATACCACACCATCGGCCAAACGATAGACAAGATACAACCGTAATTGGAGATCTATCGCGCCAACAAATCGGTAGATCAGTAGACTTGCCAGCCAGAACCAGATTCAAACTGCCCGGCACTATCCCACGGCATTTTGCGTTTGGAATTTGGTGGAAATATTTTATCTGGCTAAATGAACTGGCTTGGTTACGTTGTTGTTATTTACTGGGTTTTTGCGGTCATTTGTGAGCCGACGCAACAGCTGTCGCGAAGCGCGCCTTTTCGTTTTGTATCGTTGGGTAACACACATGCGTTCGTTGTTGTACAACATCGAGGCATAAGCCCTCTCTGCGAAGATCTCAGACCTCACCTGAGTCTCCGCCAAGGGCACGCTAACAGCTCGCGCGGCCATATCTGGGCGTCCTTGTTTGCTTGGCTTGTGGTTCTCAGGCCCCATCCGGAACTGGGCGGTGCTCCTGACAGTAGGATGAAAGGAGTCAGGTTTCGGGGAACGTCCGAATCGAGAGACGTATGTCCCACGTTGACAAATGTCCAACATTGCTTCGACATACGCACTGAATGCACACACATAGCTGTTCCGCAACACGCACCCAACACCTACCCGCAATGAGAAACGTGAATGAGGTGATAGGGTACAGAAGAGCTGTTATGCACAAGGCCAATCCGGATGTCTAAATTGTGTACGCATGGGTCTTGGTTCCTCACCCCATTACATGTGTCCCAGATAAAGCAGGTGCCATGAAGCCGTGCACGCCACTCTTCATCACTACGCAGCCTGTGAGCACGGCATTCAACCAGCATGAGCTTGACGCCACCCTCATCTTGGTCGTTCCGAGTCCCTGATTCGTGCTGTCAGGGTAGACAAGAGTAAAGAGGGGTTACAGGGAAGGTGACGCCTGCGTGCGTGGGAGACACGCGGGGCGCAGGAGCTGGATGGCTGGTAAAGGGGGGGTGTGGGGAACAGTCGGAGATTACGGAGATCGTTTCGTCAAGACCGAGACTCAATGTAGAGATGTAGAGCTCGCCAAACTTACATACATGAGCAGCACATAAATGCAAAAGCGTGTGTTGGCAGAGTGTGAGCATGAGAGCAAGAGGATGCTATAATATGCTTTCTTTGAGGAGACCCAGTCCCGCTTTGACGAGAGCTTTGACCAGGAGAGGGGCAGTCGGAGCAGGTGGAGTATTGTATTGGCAAACAGTAAAAGTCAGTGCTGCATGTACGCACAGCACTCCTGGCGCGATGAGCATGCCAGAACGAGAGCGCTATTTCAGCCCGATTCGTGCGGACAAGTCAGGAGCCAACCCCCCTGCCAATGTTTGTGATGGTATCCGGGCAAGACTGGCAAGAAGTTTGAGGCGTCTTCTCCGAGCTCTAGAGATACTTCTTCTCTGGTCTCCTGTCGTGGTCTCTGGCTCTGTCTTGACCGTACTGCATCGGCTGCCGTTGCTACCAAAGGAGACGTCGACGCACCTCTTGGATGTGTGGTGGACTTTTGTGTTGAACATCATCACCAAAAGCGGACCCACGTTCATAAAGGTGACTGAAATATTCCCCTCTTTGGTAATGTTTGTCGGATGCGGAGTAATTTCGAGGTAAAGCAGTAGACTTGAAGGTGTGCCGCGAGACGTCCACGTACAGAACCGGAGACACGAGGGGCGTTACAGTCCTTAGCTCACGACGGCTGTGCAGTGCTCGCCGCCATTTTTTGGTTTTCCGTGAACAGCATGTGCTGTTTGGCGGGGTTGCGTCGCCGTTCCTACTTGCAACTGCACACGGAGCCAAATCGATTGTCCTCCGCTGCAACCCGTCGCGCCGGCGTTGGCTCGTCAATCAGGCTGGACAGTGGGTGAGCACACGACGAGACACGTTTCCCGAACAGGTTTGCACACAACTAGGAGAGCTTCACAGGTTCACCAGGACTTCCACGAGGGCGCACGGGGAAGATGCTCTGCAACAGGCGTTTGGTGACAGTTGGCGCCAGTTCTTGGCTCTAGAAGACGAACCGCTGGGATCAGGCTGTGTGGCGAGCGTCTATAAGGGACATATTGTCGCTGGCGAGAACGAAGGCAAGGTTGTTGCCGTGAAAGTGCTACACCCAGGTATCAAGAAAACGGTCCAACTTGACCTTGAACTGATGCGCCGAGCTGCGGAGGTGCTCGAACATATTCCTGTCCTTCACCTGCACTGGCTGTCGTTGGTCGAGTGTGTGGATCAGTTCGCGTCGCTCATGGAGATGCAAATGGATCTGAGGCAGGAAGCGGCGAACCTCGAGCGCTTCACGAAAAACTTCGAAGACGATCCGACGATATTGTTTCCAAATCCAGTGTATCCGTGGGTGCACGAGTCTGTTTTGATGGAGGATTTCTTGAGAGGAGAACCTGTTTCGGATTTCTTTCCATCCAAGAACCTGGCCCATTTGGGCCTCCAAGCGTTTCTCAAGATGGCGTTTCTCGACAATTTCGTGCACGGCGATCTTCACGTGAGTGTTAAAAGAGACCATTGATTAAGTTCGTACCGAGAGCGCGCGTTGGAAAGGGCCTCTGCTCAATCGCCCGAATACGTGGAAGCACAGGCGAGTGCAGCATCTGACACCTGCCGCCTTGCCGTCGCTTTCTACATTACCAGCCCGGAAACTTGATGGTAGGACGACGAGAAGATAACGGGGAAGAGCGACTCATCTTCCTAGATGCGGGTATTGTATGCGAGCTCGACGAGGAGGATCGGCGAAACTTCTGCGACCTTTTCCATGCTGTTGTGGTTGGCGAGGGCAAGCGGGCAGGTTCGCTGATGGTTGAAAGGGCACGAAATCAGCGGTGCCAGGACCCGGACGGCTTTTGCGAAGGGGTGAACGAAGTGGTGCAAGGAGCTAGGTCGAGCGGGATGCGCTTGGGGGAGATGCAGGCCGGAGATTTACTGGAGAGAATATTCAGGTTGTGCTTAAAGCATGAGGTGCGTGCCTTTCTCTAATATGTCGCCAACTTTCACCTCGGACCAGCATTTTGGATTGCCCCTGAACATGCATTCGTCCATCTAGCAAACGAAGCCAGAAGATCTTGCGCTGTATACCCGCATTCTTTCAATTGACTCAACGCCATCTCGTTCAACGCGATAGGTCAAGCTTGAGTCCAAGTTCGCCAAGACTTTGATCGCCATCGCAGTTTTGGAAGGAGTTGGGCGGAGCCTGGACCCAGACCTCAACCTTTTGAAGGCTTCGCTACCGGTGGTTTTGAAAGCCACGGCGATGAACAGGGCAGGAGTAGAGTAGAGTTGCCACCACGCAGGCACTTCGTACCTTGGGCGTATTGGTGCAGCAGCAGTACAACAGATCCATGCTTTCCCAGGAAGTCTATTTTTATATTGGTGCACGCGTTTGGGAAGAAAATTAACAAGCAGCAGGTCGCTCTCATATATATCACCACGCGAAGAGGTCTAGCTGATCTTGGGCCTCCTTCAAGTCAATCTGAACCTTCTTGCGCTTGTAGAAGATAGGACAATCCCTATTCGAGCACAGGACGTCCTGGTGGAAGGAGCCTTGGCAGTCTTGGCACTGGGTCCACAATCGGCTGAAAAGCAGTTGCTGCTCGTTCACCTTCAAGGCAGCACGTCAACGACGGAAACAGCACGCAGCAGAACGTCCACAAACATTACTAACCGGCGTCTGCGGCAGCCACTTACATAACCTGCCGTCGTGACACCACTTCAGTCTTCGCTCCTCTGTTGTGGAAGCTTACCTCTCGTAATTTGGCCGAGTAGATGTCGCCCTCCTTCGGCCTGCAGTGTGCGCAGAGAGTTTTTTCCTTCTCGCTAATAGGTGCCTTACATCCCATGCACTGTGCCAGCGAGGAAACAAGCAGCGATGGGGAAAGAAGGGTGTGCTGGTGCACAAGATGGACACGTGACTCATGAACGCAGAATGAACAGCAGCAAAGTGACTCCCTCAGTCCCCTGAGGACGGGGACCAACCGATGACGAGTTCGGGAACAAAAGACCCACTCATTCAGCACACCGCGACACGCAATCTGACGAGGCGGACTCTGGTCACACGCAACTCTTTCAATACGTGCTGCATAACCTGGTGGCAGGTTAGGTACGGCGGCAAGAGCCCCAAGTCGTCCAAGCGTGGAAAATGGCGAAGTTCGGAGCACTTGGTCAAAACGTATCCCCCCAAAAGATATGTATCTCATCATGTAGGGGGAACAAACGTTGTTTTCCCCGAAAGCGTTCGTCACCAAGATACTTCATTTATTTGCTGCCCTCCGATCTCCCTTCAATGTTCTTCTGAGCATAACCTCTTCTTAGTCCAGGTTGTCTTTTCACTGCCTTCTCCCCCTTGCATGATCTTCGACGGCTGGCAATCTTCCATTTCAAGTTCCCATCGTCTCTATTTGCTTTCAAACTGAGACCGGTGTTAATCATCGCCGTTGGACACCCATGTATTTTCAAAGACCTTGATATCTGCACCGCTTCCACTATTAGCACCAGAGCAGCACAAGGCAAGGAAAAAGGGCACTTCAACCTATACTTGTGTCAAGAACAAGACAACTAGCCCAATGAGATGTTTTTCAGTCAACATACGTCACTTCACCTTTAGCTTCTTCACGGCAAACATCATGATACCGCCCGCCCGTGCTGTTGGCGTCTTCTTCACGATTGATCGCGTGTGCTCCCCATGCAGAAGAGCGGACGGGTTGTCGATGATGGGCTGTTTGTTCATACAGGTAGAAAAGTTGCAAAACGAAACGTCATGAGGCGAAAATGCTGACAACTCCACAAGTACTCCACCGTAGGTATGGTAAGGGTGTACGCGTTTTTTCACTGAATCACGTGAATCAGCAAACCTCACCTCAAACAGACGGCTGAGCGGCTTGCTGAGCTGGTTAGTGAGGTAGTACTCGGTGTCGATCGGCAAGTTGTTCTCGAGAACGTAGACCGGGTCCTCGCTTCTCTCGTACGCTGCAGCACCCTTGGCCGCCTGGCGAAAGAGCAAGGGTCGAATTTGTGGCAGCGCGTAGCAATTAGTGAGTTGTTGTTGTTGTTGTTGTCTTCACATTAAAAACCATCCCGGTCTCTCTATCCAGTACCTCCTTCTGTCTCAATCTCTCCGTACTAATCCAGCACCTGACTCGGCCAATTTCCGTGGTCACAGGCTAACGTACCTAGAAAAGGTATACCAAAATAAAATGGACCCCAAGGGTTAGCAGAGCGATAAAATACAAGAAAACAAAGGAATGAGAAACAAATAAATAAATAAATAGTGGAACGTGCGCACCACCAGCCTGGGCCGCACCACCAGCCTGGGGGGGTAGCCTCCCACTACATGGAGGCAGGTCGACGGCCAAAGGAAGGGG